TCCGTGTCTGGCCCAATAACGGAGGTTCGATATGCTGTAGCTGCAGCGACTTCCTTTCTGAGGAACAATCCCTGTTGATGAAGCAGCCAGGACATGCAGGGCACGGGGAAGGGCGTGTCTGGGTGACCGGGGGCTCCTGGTCTGGGAGGGGGCGCGTGGGGAGGGCAGCTGGAATACCTGGGCGGGGCCCCACTATTCTCCAAAGCTGAAATGGGGAAGGGAGGCATTCAGGGGTGTGAGGGGTCACATCTGAGTCTTGAAGGTGGCGGAGGGTTTCTGCAGGTGCGAGGGGAAGGGCCCAGGATGCCCACGAGCAGGAGGCAGGAAGGTGGGGATCACCCTTAAGGGGTCGCGTCTCCTTCCACTCTGGGAGGGGTCTGGGAAGAAGAATGGGAGTGGGGGCGTCTCTGGGGGAAACAGAACCCCCTCCTCCTGAAGCAAGCCGACCCCACGAGTGTTTGATGGAGTTTGCTTGCTGAGTAAGCAGCCACGTGAGCGAGCAAATGTCTAAGTTGCGCATCAGTGCTCAGCATGGGGGCTCGGCGTCCCGGCTGCGGCTGAGCTAACGCAAGGGAGGGCACAGCCTGGCACCGGCCGCTGAGGACCCGACAAGGGTGTGTCTGTCGCCCCCGGAGGAAGGGGTGGCCAAAGTCCTGGGCAGGAAGGTCGGAACTGGCCCCAGGGACCACAGGGGAGTGGAGGTGGCTCAGCGACACCGTGAGACGGGACCCCAGTGCCTGGCACTTTATCTCCTCTGATTCTTGCTTCCAACCTGCAGAGTGGATGTCACAATGGTCCTGTGGGACCAAGGGGGAAATTGACACAAAGATCAAATCGTTGCCTACCGTCGAATTAGGGGACAGGTAGGGCAGCCCGGCTCAGAGCCCAGGGTGTTTGCGTTCACTCCGTGCACCCCCGTGCCGGTTGCATCAGGGGTCTCAGACAGGGGTGACTGTCAGGAAAGCAGTCCCCATGTCAGGGTCCAGTGCCCCAAACCATCATCTGTCATGCTGAATCCCCTCCTTCCCCACGGAGAGTGGATTTGGTTAAGCAAGCGCGGGGTTATGGTGTGCCCCGTTCGGCTCCCTTCTTAGGCGAAAAGGACCCCTTCCTTTCCGCCCGGAAGATCACTTTGTACCTCCACCCTCGTGACCTGGTGCGGGGAGCACGTGCTGGGTCCCACCTTTGCCCCCCACCCCTGCTGATACCCAGGAGAGGAAGGGCCCCGCTCCCTCCATTCCCTGTGGTGGGAGGAGCTGGGGGGGGGGGCACGGGGAACGCTCTCACCGTCCGTGGGGGTCCCGGGTACCACTCAGAATTATTTTGTTGGATCCCAGGGCCAGGTCTTCTACGCGTCCCTTGCTCTCCCTGCTCCAAGCTGGCCGAACATCTTTATCCCTTGTATTGTAGGAACATCTGCTCTCCTTCTGAAGCTCCCATTCCTGGTGGGAGGCCCACCCGCTCGGCATCGTGGGCCAGAATGTCTCCCAGGGCTGGCGGAGAGCTTGAGAGTCCAGCGGGGTCACCATGCTGCCTTTGGGACGGGGGCGGGGCGGAGATGCGATCCATGCTCTGAACCCCAGTGAGGGTCTCTGGTGCTCCTGCCGGAGCCCCTTCCGTGTCCCTCTGCCCGCCGTGGAAGGGCATCTGGCCGTTAACTTATATATAATAACCCTTAAACACTGCCATTAAGTCACCTCTCATTCTCTTAAACTACCCAGGAAGGGAATTCAGGGTGATATATGGAGGCTTTTATGGCTGGTACTGGGCAGCTTAAGGACTTAGCAGCACGCTGAACACACACATTGTTGCATAAATACGAATCGCTGTGATATCAAAGCATCATTCAACTCTGTGTCAGGGCTTCTTAGCAGCACCGAACCCCTCCCTGTGCTCCGAGTCACTGCCACTTGGGAGGAGCCACCCTGAGGACATAGGGATTGGCCCAGAACTGGACCCCTGGGTCCCCATGATGTCGCCATAGCTGGATGCACCAGGAGACCCCGTTCCTCTGTCTCCCCGCTCCTTGTTCTCAATTACCCTGCCTGTTGTGTGACCGGCAGGGGATGGAAGAGAAAAGGCATTGACTGTATCGGAATCAACCTAGTAGATGCCAGGCCCCGTACACGTGTCATCACAGCAGACCCTCACTTTTGCACAGGAGGAGAGCTGTCCAGTAACATGGCCAAGGTCACCCCGCTCGTGAGTGGCAGAGCTGGGATTTGAACCGTGCCTCCGTGCCTTGCCTGGAGGCGGTCTGTGAGAAACACGAGGCTCTTGGGCTTGGGCTGGGGTGGGGGCAGGCCCCGGTGGACAGCTCAGGGGCCCCGAGGAGCCCCGTGGGGGTTATAAAGGCAGGACGGGAGGGCGGGAAGGGAGAGTTCAGGGCTTGTCAATGGCTTTGCGGCCGAGAGAACGGCTTGCTCACCCGGCAGGTGCACTCACATACAAGCGCATGGACAGTGTTAATATTTAATGAGCAGCGCTGGCTGTGGGAAGATTGCTGTGTACTCAGCCATCCTCTCTGACCTCCCTCCGCGGAGGGCTCAGGGCCCCACGTGAAGGCGTGTCCGAAGGCAGGCTGAGCACTGGGGGCGCCTGGCCCAGAGTTAGTGCTGGCCGGGGGGGGGGGGGGGGGGGGAGAGCAGAGAGCCGAAGTCCTGTCACCATGCTTGGGGACTTCCGTCTCCGCCCAGGAGCCGCTGAAGACAAAGCCCAGATAACGTTTCTTCCTTCTTGCTTTCCCGTAACCCCCCGCCAGCCCTCTCTCCGACACCGCCGGAGACCCCAGCCTTTGTGCGGGGGTCTCCCGCTCTTCCCCACTCACAAAGGCAGCACACGGGTTCGAGAGCTAATTGCATTTTGTCGTTAAGACCTCAGGGAAACCATCCACCTCCATTGCTATTCCCGCAGTCCTGAGGGCGGTGGGCTCAGGTGGCCACGGTGGTGAGTGTCTTTGCTTATGGCTGGGAACACCTTTGCCCCGGCCACCACGGCCCCCAGCCAAGGGGGGGAAGGTCTCACAGAGACTTCTAGTTACTTCTGATTGACAATCAGGGAAGACAAGCGTATTGCCGGGGAGTATGTGCTGTGCCTATCTGGTGGGGGGACCCGGCTTTGCCGACCCCAGAGTACCGGGGGATGGGGAAGGGACTGTAAATGGGGTTCCTGGTGCCGCAGAGTTTTGGGGGGAGCAGTGCGGGTGCTTGCTGCTTGTCTCCGTAGGCCGTCTGCTGGGTGGCTGGGGGTGTGTGGGCTCTAAGCCAGGAGAGGGGCTGGGTCTTCTTGAGTGGGACTGGGGAGCACCGTTCTCTGCCGACGGGACCGGGAGAGGTTCAACAGAACAGAGCAGACGTCACGGCCACGTAAGGCGTCACAGCCATGGCTCGGGGCTCGGGCCTTGGGGCCGCACAGCTCTGTGCTCACACCTAGTCTGTGTCACAAGCCTCGGCACTCAGCAAGTACCCGCTGAGCGGTGCTATATGATGCTGTCACAGGAAAGGCGTGGTTAGAGGGCCCAGCACGGGCAAAGGCGTAACCGAACCTACGTGCCGCGTTTGGGGAATCCTATTCCAGTACGAAAGGATGTGAGAAAAGGGCAGGGGGTGGGTGGGGGTGAGGTGGGAGAGAGAGGTTGGGGACCAGATGTCTAGCTGAGGAATGGGGCCTTATGGCCAAAAGGGAGCCAATGACCACTTCTGGGGAGGGGTTCTAGAACAAGACAGAGCGGTGGGTTTCTGACAGCCAACATTGAGTCCTTGCTGGCCGGCCCCAAACAACCCAGTTGGGACAAGACCTAAAAATACAGAGTTCAGGGTTCAGAGAGTCGGATTCAAACAGTAAAACACCTACTATGTATCAAATGTTTTCTAGTTGGGAGAAGCGGACCCTCTTCTTCCCAGGACAGGGTTGTGTCTGCCGGCGATGGCTGGAGTGGACGCAGCCATCTTGTAGCCATGAGGGGAATTAAGCTAACAGGCAGAGGAGGGCAAGAAAGAAAGGTAATGAGACCTGGGACCTCTCTGAGGGCCTGGGCCACTGAGTTAGTCAGCCCTAGGAGTCCCGTCACTCAGGATTTCTTGTGTGAGGTCATCTGTTCGCACCATTGTTTCAGCCAGGTCAAGTTGAGGTTTCCTGTTCCCTGAGCCGGCAGTATCCCCCTGACACCCTGTATTAAATAAGCACAGGGGTGTCCTGGCCAAAGGCACTTATGAACACATAGTTTCATGGTACCCTCACAGTGACACAGCAGGATTGGGTCCCTTAGCCATAGTTAGCGTGGGCTGCCTTAGCAGAACGCTGCAGACGTTGGTTTCCTCAGGGTCTCCGGTGTGGCCCGTTTCCGGACAGCTGTCTTCCAGGCTCGCAGATGGCCACCCTCTCTCTGTGCGGCCGCCTGCCCCTGCCTCTGCGTGCTCTCGGGGCAGAAGTCTCTCCGTGTCCCTACGAGGTCACGAGTCCTGTTGGATTAGGACCCAACCCTACGGCCTCCTTTGCCCTCGATCACTTCATTGCCTGCGGAGGGCCTCTCGCCAGGGACGGTCGCGCGGCTGCTCAGGGCTTGGGCGTCAGTGTTGAGGGGACCCAGTTCAGTCCACAGCAGTACCGTGGGCACAAGAACATCTAGGCACAGGGAAGTGACATGACGTGTCCCAAGTCACACAGCTTGCGGGGGGACGGAGCTGGGATTTGAACATAAATCTGTCTGAATCCCGAGGTTTGTGTGCCTTCTGTACTAGTCAAGGGCGTGTGTTTTGTGTGCCTTGATTCCCAAGTCATCCCACTCTGAGATACGCTGGGTTTATTTATTTTTCTTCTTTTTAAAACCAGCACCAGTCGAGGACTCATTTACCTACAGAAGCGTCACCAGCCTGAGCTGCTCAGTGGCAGGACTTTGGGCAAGTGTGTGCATTCGCGTAAATGCCACCACAATCAAGACACAGAAAGAGTCCCTCACTTCCCCCCCCAAGTCCCTTCATGCCCCTGTGTCCCCACCCCAGGCCCCGCCAGCCATTCCCTGCTCCCAGTCACTGTGCTGGAACCTCCTGGAAACAGCACCCGACGGTCTGCGTCCTCGGCCACTCGGCATATGGCCGAGAGGTCGCGGTACGCGGTGAGTATCCGCCGTCCTCCCTCTTTACTGCTGAGTTGTTTTCCACGATAGGGACGCACCTGCTCTGCGTTTACCCGAACATAAAGAGGGTGCTCGCGCGCGTGGACGCTCCAGGAAGCTCAGCCCCGCTTGTCCTGTGGCTTCGTGCGGGGCTCCTTCCCGCAGGGGCCGCCCGTCGCGGGCAGGCAGGCCGGGGGCGGTGGGGACTGTGCCGCGCCCCTTCCGCGCCCGTGCCCTGAGTCTCATCGGGGCTGGCTCCCCGGTGCCCCCAGGGAGCCCCTGAGGCGCTGGGGGGAAGGGATCCCACCCGTTCCCCAAATCCTCCCAGCCGGTGAGTAAGCATCTTCACTGATGGGCAGTTGTGCTTCTATCCGGTCCTGAACCTCCGTGCTTCGTTACCTTCCTCCCTGCCGCGGGCAGAACGGGGGCTTTGAAGTGAGGGAAGCGTGTGGGTCTGGAGGCGTGAGGGAAGGTGCTGATAAGCCGAGCCAGGGGTCCCTCCTCCCGTCCCCGGTGAGGCGGAAACTGCTTAGCGGCCTGACAGGTCCCCCTCCGTCCCCCTCTCTGCTCCCTTCAGGACACGCCGCCCGCTTGGGCCGCCAGCTGGGGCATTTCTCTGCCCGAGGGCTTTCTGTGCCTGGCAGGGCCCGCTCTGCCCACACGGTACCCCACCGCCTTTTCCCCTGGGGTGTGGTGACTCAGGCTCCCAGCGTTTGCCGGGGGACTGAGCCCTAGTCACCCACAGTGGCGAGCCGCCTGGTAACATCCTCGTCTGGCTTCCCCAGGGCTCCGATGGTGCTCCTGGGAATCGCCCCTCGAATACACAACATGCGCTTGAATCCTCGTCTCGCTCTGCTCCTGCGGGCCCATCTGGAGCTGAATGGTATCTTCCGCTGAGCCCTTCTGGTCTGTGAGGCTTGGGGCTAGATGCTTGCGGTGTGCTCATCACCCGCGGAGAAGCCCCTTGAGGTGGGACCCCGTCCCACGACGGTCATTTTGCAGATGGTGTCACCGAGGCCCAGAGAGGATGACGGACCTGTCCAAAGTCACACAGTCAGCGGCCAAGCCAGGTTTCAAGCCCCCAGCACTCACCCCACCCCTGAAACAGACACTCAGGATGGCTGTGTGCGCCCCCGCCTGGAGTCTGGGTAAGGCGCTCTGTCTTGGGAGTCCAAAAGTCAGAATTCTGTCCCCGGCTCTGCCACACATGTACTGTGTGGCCTTGGACAAGTAAGTCACCTGCCCTTCTGGGGCCGGTCTCCCCATTGCAGTCTGGAGGGATCGGATTGCTTGATGCAGACAGGCTCTTCTAGCTCTGGCGTTGGGTGAAATCCAAGGTTGGAGAAGGTGATTCCAGGACAGATAATAGGGCGCCCTGTTTCACCCAGTGGGAAGTTCTAAGTAGAGTTACTCCCAGCAGGTGGTAGGGAGGGAGAAGAGAAAGAGTCTTGAAGGATGAGGGGAAGTTGACCATGGAGTAAACCAGCAGCCCCCGGAGACACAGCAGGGGTGAGGGTGGGGTGTAGAAGGCCAAGGTGAACACAGGAGGGTCAGCCTAGAACCTTTCCACCATCCTTCCCTTGGCTAGAAGTATCCTGGAGAGAACCCGGGGAAGAGGTCTCTGTTTTCCGTCCGTTCTGTGGGGTCCCTGGAGCAGAGGCTCCAAATCCAAATCCTCCCTCCCAGGGTGGCCCACTCTCTGGGGGGTCCTCTCCTCCCAGCACAAAGGAGTGGCGGATGAGGTGGAGAGTGCCACGTTCCCTCCACCTCCGAAAGCAAAGAGCAAGGCGGAGGGAAGAGCTGGGTGAATTATGCATGTGCCTCTTAATCATGCCCTGATTAAAATGATCGTGCTAATATTAATTCTCCCAGCCCTCTCGCAGGAGAGGTGCCGGGGGCCCCGGTGGAGGCCATTGCCCACTCCCTGCTCCTGCTGCCAGATCCTGCCCACCAGACCAGTGAACCTGTAGGATGTTGGCTCTCTGTCAGTCCCTGAGCACCCCCTGGGTGTGGGCTCACCCCCCAGGCATGTGTCCCCCATCTTGTGGAGAAGGAAGGATCTGGTGATTGACCTGGCCCAAGGAACCCACAGAATGAGACTCAGAAATATCGAAGGCCCCGGGCACCTGGGTGGCTCAGTCAGTTAACTGTGGACTTCAGCTCAGGTCATGATCTCACGGTCTGTGGGTTCGAGCCCTGCGTCAGGCTCTGTGCTGACATCTCGGAGCCTGGAGCCTGCTTCGGATTCTGTGTCTCCCTCTCTCTCTGCCCCTCCCCTGCTCATGCTCTCTCTCTCTCTCTCTCTCTCTCTCTCTCTCAAAGATGAATAAACATTAAGTATATATATATCTCAAAGACCTAAATGATGGGCACGCAGCAACGGGTTGGTTAGGAAGCAGGCTTCTGCTCCCCAGGCTACGCGCTATGTCTAGAGGAGGGGACAAGGAGGCTTTTGAAGGCAGTGTCTCCCAGGGAGCTGCTTTGGAAAAGAGAATTTTCTTCGTTTGGTCAGACAACTGCAGGAGGAACACGGGGGGACATCCTCAGCTTGCAAATACCTGAGTTGTGAAAACCCAGACGTGTGGGATCCATTTTCAAGAGCGTTAGCTGAGAGCACGGACTCTGGGAGCCAAACAGACCTGAATTCTAACCTGGCCTCTACCAGCTCTAAGGGGTAGACGCTAACTGACCCTGCTTCCCTGAGCCTTAGTGGTCCCATCTGAAAAACGCGGTAATGATGCCCACCTCCCAGGTATGTTATCGAGATTGAAGCACCTCCTGGCGGATGGTCTGCTAGCATGAATCTCCCAAGGAGAAATTCTTCTCTCCATCCATATGGAGGGTTTACATGTAACTGATGTCTGGGAGTTTCTACCCCACCCCCCACCTTTCTCCCCTGCCCGCAAGGTTCTGGAGGACTATGCCTCCTTTTCCTGGCCAGGGGGGAGGAGTCCCAACAGAGAATTTAGAACACAGCACAATTCCCCCCCAGGACACTGTTTTCAGTCATTGGTGACCACAGGCACCAACAGAACTTTGTCAGCTGCCCTTGGCATTGTGAGGGCTTGGGGGGGGCGGGCATCCTGGGACTCGAAGAGCCATCAACAATGACAGCGGTGCAGCGACAGTGATTCCAGTGGCCGCACCCATGGTTTATTGAGTATTTACTGGGTGCCGGGCACTTGACGTGCATTATGTCGTGTTTTTTTTCCAACCCATTTGAGGTTGGTGGATATTTTTGTTCTCCCCCCTTTTATAGAGGAGGAAGCAGAGTGGTTCAATTATTTGCTGAAGTGTGCCATTCTCAAAGTCTGTGCTTTTTCACCGTGACCTTGTTTATTGCGTCCGCTGACACTGTTTCTCTGGGAAGATGTATTGCTTAATCCAAGAAGCTGACTTGTAAGTGAACCTTGGGAACAGACCCTTCCATAAACTAAGGATTGCGTGGGCTCTGGTGGCCTCGAGGATCAAGAACCAGGAGCAGTCCCATCAGTGGGCACTTTCTGAAGGGCCCGGGCCCCAGGGCAGGAGGGTTCTAGGGCTTGAGGTTTTGCCTCTGCCCAGAAAAGTCCAACAGAGCTCTGAGCGTGTACCCAGAGATGGCTGGTAAGAACTGTGTGTGTGTGTGTGTGTGTGTGTGTGTGTGTGTGTGTACACGCGCATGTGTGTGCGTGTGCGTTCGTCCATGCACACGCACGTTGGTGCAGATGCATGAATCTGTCTGTACTTGCCTCACATGTGCATCAAACTTGCAAGTTTGCTGGGATGTAGTGTTTTTCCCAGCGGATTACCGCCTTGCCCTGTCCCCTTATCTCTTGTGGGTACATACACTCACGGATGGGGTCTGCGTTCGCTCAATTTGCAGAGGTTTGCATAGCGCCCGAGGGCTTATTGTGATGTCTTACTCCCCTCCCCTCACTCCCGCTGGCAGTTCCCTCCGCTTGGAGAGCAATGACCCTTTGCAAGGGAGGGTGCCTGCGTCTTGGAGATTGGACGG